GGGTCCTCATTTTACCCACCTCGGAAGGATGGAAGGCTGAGTCAACCCTGAGCCGGTGAGATTTGAACAGCCGAACTGCCGAATTAGCAGTCAGCTGAAGTAGCCTGCAGTACTGCACTCTAACCACTGTGCCACCTCGGCTCTTTATAACATAGCCTGACCAGGAGTCTTTTCCATCCGCTGGACCGATCCTTTCCAACTCCCCACTAGGGCACTTTCCACCAAACGATCAATGACAATAGTATCTTCGGTCTTCAGAGTACCCACCTGAAAATAGGAGTGGTGTAATAATTACCGACCTTCTTCTTCTCTGCATTGTAGCGAACACCTGCAGAAACAAGTGGAAGAAAGGACATCTCACCTTTGTATAAGCTATTTATAGGCCACAAACTCGGCTTGGAAACCGACTAACAAATCACTGAATGTGTTTTAAACTACCATATCCACTCTTTAAAACATTACACCATAATAGGCCTTTAGGAACTCTTGTCTTGTTACACCTAGGAACAAGTCCAATTTCCTTAAATTTGGAAACATGCTGAGAGATCATGCAACCCTCCGCTAGTATGCCTCATTCCCTGTGTTCCAGAGGATATAGGAAAAAACAAGTTTGGCCAGAACAAGATTCAGGGAGGCCAAATCCACCAACCCATTCAGAATTGAATTTAAGCCCTTGAATTCTATTCCTCCTGTTCTAACATTTTACATTTAGCCGCATGATTATTACTGATTTCTTATTACATAAGCTGGAATGCTACCTAATTCACTCGAGATTAATAACCGAATTTGGGGGGTCTGGGGGGATTTCTTTCTGAAGTAATAATCGAAAAGGGATATACACATTTGAATAATATCAATCAAATCTATTGGCTGAAATACTGATAAAAAGAGAGGCTTTAGTGATTATAAAGTGTTCTCATCAGTTTTGGCAAACAGGCAAAAAGGTTTTTAGGCAAGTTTATTCATGAAGATCAATGTGCGTTTTACCTAAAAGGCAGCAAAAAGATAATGTGGGAACTGTTATATGTAGTAGAATACATACAACAGAATGATGAAAAACAAGTTGCATTAATTTTTTTAGATGCTCTTGACATTTTGAACTAGTTCTTCTTGTTTAAAGTCCTGGAAGAATTAAACTATGGTGAGAATTCTCTTCATGGAATCAAATCAATATATACAGTATATAGGTTAGAGTCCTAAACACCGAAGAGAAAAAAGATCACGAAGAAATCAAATCTGTTGACATCGATGGTGAATGGTTTGTGTCTGGAAATGGAAAAAGTAGAATACGGAAAGAGGAGTTAGAACTCTACCCCAGATGGCAAGANACGCGGTTTAATCGGGCGTGGTTTAGTCGAGCGCGGTTTTGACGTGTCACGGATAAATACCAATCTAACCCAAACAAATAAAAGCTTGAGTGCAAAAAAGTTTCTAAAACACTTATCTCGGTGATCCTTCATTTTATATTTCTTTCCTCCTTCCTGTCACACACAGTTTCCTATAATGGCATATAACTGTTATATTCTGGGCATAACAAAGGAGAAAGGCTAAGGAGATAGCATTGTTTATTTTATGACACTTGGGACAAAACAATGGGCTGATGTTTAAAGAAGTGGGGAACAAGTGCAGACGATGTAAGAAAAAACAGCAAAAGGTAGTTGGCCATGAAATGCTCTCCCCCCCTCTCTCTCACACTCACACTCACACAAACACACACAAACAGACTCGCATACACTTCTATTCACATATTCCAACTGCTTCATGTACCAACTGCAAAGAGTACTTTTGTTGTTTGGAGGGGGGAAAAAAAGACATTGATTTGCACATCATTTCCGGCCATATTTTCTCTCTCTATATCCATAAACTCAGTTCAAAGTTCAGCATCTGAACCAGATGCAGAATCTGAATAATCTGCAACCAGAGAAGCAGCAAAAGTAGAGGGGGGGCTCCTCTCCGCTTTTTGGGAGCCTCCTGAAGGCCTCGCGGGAGAGTCGAAGGGCATTTCACTCGCTCCGCTGTCCCGCCTGTTGACTTGTGCTGGGGCATCAGAGGCGTTGCTCTCCCCTTCGCTGGGAGTTTGCTTGGGATCCCTGGATTTCCGACACACGACACCGAGGCTGTTCAGAGGTACAAGGGACTTGCTAGAGGGTGATCTCCCAACAAATGCCAACTTTTTCAGGGTGTCATTGGTTTTGGAACTTGAGAACCACGGGCGATCTACAATCTCATTGCGTTTTTGTTTCTGTCTGTCTTCGTAGGCTGAAAAGGAAGAAGCAAGCATGCTACAATGACAGAAAATAGGAACAACAGAGGTCTAGTTATAGCAACAGCAGTTAGACTTATATACCGCTTCATAGGGCTTTCAGCCCTCTGTAAGCGGTTTACAGAGTCAGCATATTGCCCCCAACAACAATCCGGGTCCTCATTTTACCCACATCGGAAGGATAGACGGCCGATTCAACCTTGAGCCGGTGAGATTTGAACAGCCGATCTACCGAACTTTGCTTGGAACACAACAGCATGTCATTTCTGAAT